ACGGAGGATTCGAGCCTAGGGTGTTCACTATTAAGCTCGTGCATTTCACAGCATACGTTATAACCTTTTCGTTCTACGTAGATAAGCACTTATTCTTACTCGTTTATACTTATGCCAATATAGTAGGCGAAGTGAGTAATCCCTCCTAATAGTAAACGCCCTAGCTAATAGATCGCAGGGGCTCTTCTAGGACCGTCTTCTCGAATCGACACGATCGCTATGGATTTAGGCTTTCGTCAGCCTTACGTACTCTGCAGTCATCGCGATAACTGCATTCTTCAGTCAATCGCCTAAAGCTGCTCGCACACCGGTCATAGTAGTCTTAGAAATATAACTGCTCGTCGCTATCATCCGTGCCGGCGTTTACCTTAAACTCTCTTACGAGAGTGACTGCCGGAAACTGAATGGCAAGGAGCGGCTTAGATACTGGCCTATTCTCTTTAAGGTTGTGACCTTACGATAACTCGATAATAATGATAGAAAGTCCACAATCTTGTTAGGCCTCCACATGACATTGAAGATCGTTGCCGCCAGTGTTGGGCTCGGTCCAAGTGTGAACATGTCAGTGTGAACTCGCAACATAGGGCGACTATGTCAGCCACAAGCCTGCAAGTTCCGGAGAAAGGATCATTGTCGGGCATGGCGCACGACGCGGCGGTCCATTGATGGCTTGTATTGTTCGGACTAATCACACTTGCCACGCCGTCTCCAGCGTTCTATTCGACCGCCATGGCGTGTTCTATGCCCTGCGTTTTTGGACCACCCTGCTCGAGCCAGCAATCGTCTTTGTGCCGTCGCAGCGCCGGTGTTGACTTGCCTAACGGTTGGATTCGAGACCTGGAACTGCCACAGTCTGAACATCAGGTGTTTTAGGTATTCTTTCTGTTGAACCAATATTAGGGGATTCCCTAGGGTGGTGATCTTGGTAGGGGATCACCGATATGGTGATCAGTGGAATTCACAGCTCTCAGGAGCACGTGAATCGCAGTTTACGTGATCGGTGAATTAGATGGGTATATCTGACTCACGTAGGTAGTGATATTTCAGAGAGATAGTATGGATCACATCACAAGACTTATATCACCTACCCTACCTATTCAGAGCTCTCAGGCACAGCCAAAGCAATGAAACGGGGTTCACATAAGCAGTAAAGCCCTCTTAACACTTTCTTTATATATCACAATGGCCCGCTTTTCAGTCAGCTATGAGCACCTTATCGTCGACGCGCGTCATCGACACTGCAAAGCACGCTGAAAGCACAAGTCAGCAAATAGCACAATAATGAACAAAACGGCACCCTGAGTGATTACTTCAAGGTATATGCTGCTCCCTTGTCGGCGCTGTTTCAGAGCAAGCGGTAGATAAGGTGGCAACCGTTGTCTCGAGTCGCAGCCCCGTACGTCAAACAATCTGAAGGACAGAGAATGTGATGACGCCTTTCAAACTAGATGTATTGCTGCCTCGTGGCAGCGCTGTAGCTATTGATGTATAGGGCGACAATAAGTAGGAATTTTAGTGATATGGCGTGAGTGGGAAGTGCCGCCTCATGAAGTTGTACTGTATCCGCTTGACTTGACCCAGGCACCGCTTTTTAAAACTTGATCATCCGTCGAGGGTTAAGAATCCGCCGAATGGTTTTCTGCACAGCGGTGAATCGCATGAAGTTACAGCTTTCGCTCTCCAGGTGATTAATGGCAGCAGCGAGTGTTACGAAGTCCCTCTTGCAGCGGCGATTCGGACAATGATAAAGATCCTGCTGGTGTACGGGCGAACGGAGATGTTGGTTTAACGAAGTCAGCGACTGGAAGCAGCTCTCGCAGAAGTAGCATTTAAACGCATTTTCATCGGCGTTGAAAGCTAGTTCCGTCGCCTCGAAGTCCATATTGCCTGACCACATCAGGAGCTTCTTAGTGAGGATGCCGTTCAGATCGCGAAGTCGGACCGCATCGTAGAGTTTCGCCCTGTCGAGGGGAGCTTTTGGGCAAGAACCGCCTTCCAAGTGGTAGACAAGTCCTGTTGCGCTTTCGTGGATCTTGTCACAAAACGGGCATGGTAGATTCGATGTACTGTGGATCTTGCTATTGCGATGCTATGTTCGTTAGTGTCAGGACCTGTGGGAGGCATGAAACCGACAGGGGATCGCCTGTTGTTTGATCGTAGGAACCAAGAAGAGAGGACCGAGCGCAGCGAGGGGATAGATATAAGAAAGATCAACGGACTGAGAGTTAGAGGAGGACATCGATTATTCTATCGTTCTAGAGACCCCCAGGAGACCACCAGTTGGTCCCTTCACTCGTTGTAAAAGACTCCTTGACACTCACCGCCTCTGCGTCGAACCAAGCGTCGAATCCCGCAAAACTCACGATTACCCAGTATGCCGATCGACTCGATACCGACGCGACCGAAAGTGATTCGGAGCTTCCGGTGCATATAACCGCGTCGTTTAAGTTGGGGTTTTCTGCCGTCCGTGCAGAGGAAGTGCCCTCGTGCTCCAGCCGCCTTGAGGTATCGCCTTGAGATGGCTTTGGTACGAACCTGGTCGTGTTTGCAATATTGTCGGCGCTACCTTTTGTCTACGAGGGTTTTAACTGGATATCTCACAGTGTATATGGGACTGTTGGTGTGGTAAATGGACAAAGGGCGAGAACATAAGGTTCGCCTGACTTTCATGGGACACGACTAGCATGTTGAAAAATAACAACGGAGCCATGACGGCCATGTTGGTCCACCTTTTCACGTCGCCTCCAAATGAATACCTGATCCTTCGTCGTGAGCCTGGACGATAGAACCCAAATCACAATATACGACACCTTTCAATAAAAGGGACAGGTGGTGGCTTTACCTCCGATTGCTCAAGAGTTTCGGGCTGAGCGAGAATGTCGAGATGGTGATGGAGTCGGCCAACCACGGGGGCCTTGTTGGAGGTCTTGCTTTGACAATGACGGCTGACTGCAGTCTAGGTCTCCCTAACAATCATGAGGTTGTCCTCAATAGCCCTGCGATATGGACTCAAGGAGTCAAGGCACTCCACCCTGGTATCCTCGAATTCAGGGACCGTTTCGTACAAGAGAGACATCATGCTGTACGCCAGGTAGATGAATGCTAGCATGTGTTCCAGAGATGCCGGCAGTCGATGTCGGAGCAGCTTGAGGAACAAATGTATCCGGTGACGCCATATTTTGGCAGGCATAGCGTAGCGCTCAGCCAAGTCCCTCGGGGCTTTTCGGCCGAGGGGTGTTAGCTAGCGAGGAGGAAGTCGTGATGGTCTTTTAGCAAGGTGTATTGTATGCCGAATAGGGCCTGTCATTGCTCGTCATTGAGGTTAGTAGCGCCTGCCTCTGTGCCCAGGAAGTCACAGGCTTCGATACACTTGCTCTCCACCTTGACCAAGTTTGATGGGTTCTTTGTGATTATTTGCCTTCTTCGTGTCAACGGTCCCCGCGTCATGCTTCTGCTGAGAGACCTCGTTCTAAGAGTAACCATATCGAGTGGCTTCAGATGATGTCTGAATGGGGTGCACATGAGCCTTGAAGTCTTGGTCAAGGTTTGTCTTTTGCGTCTTGTGCCGATTACTTCATTAGAAAGGTTGTCCAGTGGTCCGCTCTTTTTAAGGTTTTCTGTCACCTCGACTCTACTGACTCTCTTTTCGGTATGAACAGGGTCGGAATGAAGATGGATAAAGTGCTTGAAGTACGAGAACAAGTGGTCTTCGAATTGATACCCACAAACATGACATTTTGAGAACTGGGACTGTGGGAAAGGAGAGTTTCGGGGCCGATAAGCCCAGACCACCATTTTGATCTGCATTGGGACTACACCGCAATGCAGCTGTGGGGGGCAAGCGTAGAATGCGTGCGATACCTGTTCAGAATTTATATACGTCTGAGAGCCTGTGAATTGATATGCAAGGGTGGCGGTCCATGTTTTAAGGCAAAGGAGAAAACCAGTTGCGTGTGACGTAGTGTCGGTTTCTGTGGCATTGGCAGTCGCAGGAGTTCAAGTAGAAGAAACCAAAGATCGTCTTTTGGGTCACCAAGTAAATTATAGGCTCCCGCGCCCATTAATTAAGGGGGCCTGCTTAGAGGGGCTTGCAACTTGACGCCCGTTACTCCACCGTAAACTCCGGCGTGGTTGCCTTGAACCAGCCGCTGTGCAAGGGGGAAAGGTCCCAAATGGTTTGCAAGGTGGTCTGCCGAAGGGTCGATTGGGGGTCTCAGCACTCCCCTTCAACCCATTCCGCCTCCTGTCTTTGTTTCCAGGTCAGATCTCTGCCCGCGCCAGACCTCCGTGCTTCCTTCGCCTTGAATGTGCGGATGTCGAAGCCTGTAATGGGCCGCTCGCCCGAGATGGCAGTCGGAGTCTGCGTTCACAACTCCCTGGCATCTTCTAGCGGATGCCCTCTTCGGACAGCCAGAGACCGCGTCTTTGCACTTCCCGAGTGAGCAGCTTGAAAGACTCCGACAAGTATCGCACGCTACCTAGGTCTTGACGCTTTGCTTGAGGTTAGCGGCCATGGAGAATCCGGACTAGTTTTCGTCGGTGCAGCCTTGGTCATTTCTCTCCTCGGCAGTGCCCGAGTAACATTGCTAACTCGTTCCAGACCAAGATTTGGGACGTCATCACCGGTTTTCGTGTCGAGCCATTCTGTTTCGCCCATTCCCGAGACCCCGCTACAGCTAGACGTTCCGTCAGTACCTCAACTCGGCCTTCCTGGTCACGACTGGGCTTGTTGCCGCTGCCTCCAAGCCTTAGCAGCCTTACCGTTGCAGGAAGTCTCTGGATGGTTTGCACGAAGGGTACGCGGATCGCTGCAGTTGAGACAGGCACAAAGCGTGAGAGCACCTCTTGCACGAGTGCACTGAACTAGGCGTTCATTCAGTCTTCTCATTAGATTCATTTGTACGCCCTTCTCACCGCGCCGAGGCTCCAAAGCCACCAGAACAAAGAAACCCAACTGTGACAAAGTAATCCTAGTCAATTCATGTTCGTCGCTCAGAAGCCTATTCCAGGTGGGAGAAGGTTGAGTCGAGCATCCTTGATCGGGAGAGGCCCATGCCGGACGAGAAGAGCTTCGTCTTGCGCATACGGACTTTACTAACCCGGCGGTCTCGGCCACGACCCTTGATGCCCTTGTTACTGTTCTTATAGATGTTGGAGAAGTACCAGAGCAGGTCGCTGTCTTCGGGCGACAACGCGTCGACGTCCGTTAGAGAGACGATCCAGTCCACAAGACGACCAATGGTGTCCCCGTGGTACTTGTTCTGGTGGTTCTGTGCAGTTCATCAGAAGAGAACCCCCTAAATTTATCGTGCCGATTTACCTTGAGGTTTCCTCGGGTCGTGAAGAGCTTGTTGCAGTTGTCGAGCTTGCAGGCGAAGGGCTTGGTCTTGTTGTGCGTCTCCGTGTGTGCGGTTAGGTTGCCGCTTTGGGCAAAGCAGGCCCCACACAAGTCGCACTCGAAAGGCCGCTCGCCTGTGTGAAGGCGGGTGTGGGTCTTGAGGTTTCCAGGCTGGGAAAATCGGCGCCCACACCCATGCCACTCGCATTTCTGGTGCGTCTTAGTATGACGCCAGGGGTGATGACGGTTCTTGAACCGTCTGGACACGGCTTATGATTGTTCAATATTGATACGAGGGAGCACTTACGTAAGGTTTGTCGCCAGTATGAGCACGCTTGTGAGTTTCCAAATGCGTGCTCTGCTGGAAGCTCTTGGCGCAGCCATCGAAGGGACAACTGTATTTCTTCGCCTTATCGGTGACCTCCTGGCTAGATTCAGTGGCAGACTAGAAGAATTTTAGTATCTCTCAATCTCGTAGTGGTGTAGAAAACAAACCGGATGGGGCGAAGATAGCCCGGTCTTGACGCTGCAGGTACCAGCCTCTGAAGAGTTGCTATTCGCGATGTGTCTCTTGTCCTTCCTCTTCTGGAGGGCCTTCATCATGACATCAACAGGAGTGGTGAAGACGATATCGTCTGCCATGACAGGCTTATTGTAGGTGATCTCCTTCGTTTTCATAGGGTCTGACGTCTTGGGAGTAATCCCAGCAGCAGAAAGGCTCTGCTGTTGACGCCGGTGTCCTTGGATGGGCTGCTGGGGAATTTGGTGCAGTATGCAGAGACCAGCGTGCTCCTTTTGGGGGCTCATGCGAGAGTAGGTCATTGCCAGGCAGCCCGCTGGCTGGTCGTACTGGCCGTAGGTGTTGTGGGCTTGGACGGGGAAGTGAGACTTGATGTTTGATACGGGTGATATACCGTAGGTGGGTCCCGTCACGTAGTCAGGGGCGATGTGAGGGGCGACGATGGCCCCAGAGGTGACAATGGTCCTCGGGTCATACTGGCTTGTGCTGGTAGCATACTGCGTCCGCTGTCTGACGTACTGAGGGAAGACAGACGGCTCCATCATAAGATATCCAGAGTCATGCTGCGGTTGCTGCTGTTGTTGCAACCAGTGGTCGTCGGGGAGCAACGTCATTGTACAAAGTACTGATGCTGTAGAATATTAGGAAAACAAGACAAGACCACAAAAGCTCTCGACTGATGATTCTCTGAGGTGCTTGTCAAAAGCCAAGGTCAAGATGGCGAACGTGGGCGAGGAGGACCACGCGCCTTATATACTCTGTTGACGAGATAGCACTCATGACGGCTTACACCATCCAGCATGACACTCAGCAACGAGAACTATAGAATACTGACAAGCACATGCCTCCGGGGATTCGGGAGATCAATGCCTAGGGAGGTGGCTCAAAGCCGATCATTGGCTAACGTCCGCAGGGGTAAGCTACCAGGCCGGCAGCCGCAACGCTTCCGCGGCCTTTCGAGGGCAACAAACCACGTCAGTCAAGCGTGTATTCAGATCGGCGCATGGTTTCTTTTCCCTAGTCTGCGTGCCTCCTTTATCAGATGAGTGCACGGGCTCTAGTTTTGCGCCAGGTCTTGTACCCCAGCTGAGGTGTTGGGTTCGGACGTGATGATCGGACCACATTTTGGACGCGTACGCGAGATCAATCAAGAAGCTCAATGATTAGCTGGCTTGACAAGCGATGGAACGAAGGCTTACAGGCGCCGTTGCAAACAAAGGTAGGCTCGCAATACGATGAAGAGAAGGAAGAAGAAGAAAGAGACATCGGGCAGTTCAGTCAATCGGGCGCGATGCAGGCCGCGGGCACCAATGTTGACATGGGCAAGCACGGGAGTCCGTATCCCGACGAGGGATGTTTCCCGACTGCTCAAGGCGAGTTTTTCCAGCTGTTGAGTGGGACGAGGTTCCGGTTAAACGAGTGCTTGCAGCCTCCATCCAATTCGTCAGCAGAAGACCAAGCGGTTTCGCATGTCGTGGGTGCAAATTGCAGAAGTCGTCGTACAAGCATGCACCTACTGATTTCCGTACTGCCCTCAGCAAAAGGAAGGCTGTCCAAGGGGGGGCTGCGCACGCTCTGGGATGGCGGAAGGCCGCCGAGCTGGTGGTGGCGATGGCGCAGCGAATGAGAAGTCATCCAACTGACACAGTGCAGGGCAATCGTAGACTTACCCATCCTTGTACGTCGTCTCTTGACTGTCCGCAGCATAGCCAGCTTCACAGGTCTTGGGGACCATATTTCCTATGGAGTGCCACGTGCCCTCTCGAGCCGATTTAGACCGAAGTCTGACTTAGTCATTGATTCGCCACTGTCGATCAAAAACCTTCGGAAAATGATTCATGCGGAGTATCACGAATCCTTATCATGATGTGGGGCAGCCTTAGATGAACCTCGAACCTTGTTTTTGATGTTACGGCTTGAAAACCTGCCTTGGCACGAACTATCATCGTGTCAGCCTTCGCACCCTTTCTTCCTTCGCAGACCTCCGTCGCCATGACTCTACGTCCTCGCCAACTCCCTATTCCACAAACCTCCGACGTCTGACGAAAGCATCGCTGCCCAACTTATTTAACATAAGTGCCGCATCCCCAATGTGGTCATGTTACCCCTCCTTACTCTGACGCGAGAAGACTCCAGCACTTGTCAACGAGTTGTCCCGAAAGCTCTTCGAATCTCCACCCGCTGAGACGCAGCAGACAAGACGAAGTTTTTACTTTCACCCTGATCAGACGTTTTAAGGCACTGATTCCTTCCACCTGAAGGTCGAAGCCCTCAATAAAGCCACGGTAGTCATGGATGTACGCAGTAAAAAGTTGTCAGATAATCATCCAAATCCTGACAAGCATGGACTACAGAACAAATTCACCTGGATCAAGTCGAATACATATGGCCCAGCCAAAGAGGACACGACTATAGAATGGAAGGGTGGAACTGGTGGTATCTGGATAGGGCCGCCAGGCAATGTCAATCGCCACCCTCAGTCTTGTGAAAAGGATGGAAGAGCTATGATTGAGGAAGGGTACTTTGTAGCCATCAATAACATGTACTGCTCCTTTAGTCCGCCTTTGACTTTGGACTAGGCCCACTGGCTAAATACATTTCCCATCAAAAACCACCCCATATCGGGAAGGAGTGTCATCTGGAGCATACTATCGAGGCCGTTTTTGTGTGGAAATACCTGCACAGCAGCAGCCGCAGCTATATGGGAAGCTTCGACTGCGTGGATGTTATTAACACCGTGGTTGAGGCTAGTGGGGTGTTTCAGACCTGCCGCTTCCGAGAGCCATGTACCAAACTTGCGTCGCAGATTCCGAATCCCGTCTGCCTTTGCCTGTGCGACCTCGTTCCCTACCTTAGTAGATAAGGAGACGAACAACTTGAAGTTCACCTCTCCGTTTCTTGGCAGACTTAGTAAGACATGCGCCGTAGTGTCTACCAGATTACCCTCCTCGGACCTCACACAACTCTCCTCTAATCCATTGAAGATGAAGGCGTTGAGGTAAAATTCAAGCAGGCCCAACTGCCCTCCACTGGCCATGAATTGGTCCAGTTCGTAGTCCCCTTCGCCGCCTCGTCGAAGCCCCTCTGTCCGATGAGTGAGGCATCGACGTTTGGGGCTACGTTCATCGTGAGAATTCTTGTTCCCATCTAGTTCGAGTGTCTGCTCAAGAGGATGCAAGGCTCCGTCCGTCGACTGGTCAACCGCAAAATCAGGCTCGCGTGGCGCGAAGTAGTCGGCTCCCTCTGGATAACATTTAATTAACCAACGGGCACTTGTAGTGGAAATGGTGATGTGGCATCCTCTATCAACGTACCATGGATAACCAAAGCTCGAATTTGCGGGTTGACCAACCTGCAGTAGAGGCCCCACTCCGTGATCCCGTCTTCTTGTCGCCTTTTGAGATTTTTTTCGAGAACCTGATCGCGGTGGCCTTCCAGTTCCTCCTCCAGAGTTTTGTCCGCCTAACATCAGTACAAACCCCACAGAGTCGTGCCATGCGACTTACCAAGCGTCAGAGAAGTGTTGCTCTCTTGGGCAGACTCTTTGATGATCTCAATGCACTTTCGAAGAACGTTCTCGGAGATCAGGATTGGCAAAGAGATCGCGCGGAAGGCCTTGTGAACATCGCAGTGCTGTTTGGCTAGTTTATCGCGAGTCTGTTTCTGCATAGAACAGGCCACGATAAAAATCTTGACATCTTGTGGACGAGGTTCACCTGCCAGCAACGGCCACACGACCGCCTGAAAGTTGCCTCCCCCGAAAACATCTTTCACAGCCACTTTGAACTTTCTGATGTAGTCAGTGAACGTCATTATCGAGGCTACCTTATCTCGCGCAAGCTTGAAGACTCCCTCTAAACTTCGGCCTCCATCATCCCAGGGCTTGTAGAATTCTTTCGCGACATGGCTCTCCATGTCCGGGCCCTTCGTGAGGTGAGGTGGAAGCAGGAAGGCGTCAATGAGACCTAGGAGGCGGAAAAGCAGAGGGGGAAAGCAGAGGGGGAAAGCAGAGGGGGAAAGCAGAGGGGGAAAGCAGAGGGGGAAAGCAGAGGGGGAAAGCAGAGGGGGAAAGCAGAGGGGGAAAGTCATAATGACTAAGCTCGTTTCATTGTGTTCCGCTTCAGCTGTGAAAGTCCCACGGCTGCGATTTGACACTAGTGCACTGCAGGAGCACACCTTGGAAACTAATTTGTACGAAAGCCAAGGAAAGCTAAACCGTGTTGGGAAGCGCCAAACCCCTGCAGCCACTCAACCCTGCGACCTGTACCTCTTGACAGGGGCTAAGCCGCCGATGGCATTAATTGGACCTCACCTTAAGCATTCACCCGTCGACTTGATGAGACAGACTATCATAGACACGCAGTCTGCCATCTAGTGCTGCAAGTCTCCTACAACGATATCCTCCGAGACACAGGAGCAGCCCCTACGCCTCCTATTGGAGAAGACACCCAGTCCGGCATTACCTCGTCATCTTTGTCACGAGCTGAGGCCTTGCAAGCTTCGGCTTCCCTTCGCTGCTGGAGTATCAGAGAACTGCCAGGTGACGTTTACCGCTGGATTGATCCGGCAGTCTGCTACAAACGCTCTATCAATGTGATCCACCTTCCCGACGAGGTTATCGACAGGTAGAGAAAGCAATCGTGAGTGGGCGAGGAGCTCGTGCCCTGACCACGACTAATCAATATAGAGGGAAACTCGGAATACTGTCCTGGAAGTGACAGAAGGGTGTCCATTGATTTGATCCAAGAGCTCCGTGATGATGTTACCTACCATATAGAGGTCATCGACAACTTCTTACAGTATATTCCACAAAAGTTGACTTATTAGAAGTGATCGAAGCGAGTGATCTGATGATTTGCAATGGACGTGAAAGCTCCGTACGTTCGTGAGGGGTAACTGGGAGAACTACCGCATTGTTTTTGGTTTTGTACAGTAATCACTTGACATTGCCGTTTAACTCTGCACACCTTCTAGGGTGATGCAGCTCCCCTGCACCGTTCTGCTGCTTCATTCGATGCATCGAGCCACCTCGAGATGCAGCTTGACTGTGCCATTGCCAAGGTCAAACGCGATGGCTCTCGTCGGTGAGCTAAATACAGAACACCCCCCGTCGGAACCTCGCGGACCGCGCCCGACATGGTTGCCTGATGCCTGATGGACTCCCAAGACCCCAAAGCAAACGAAGCTACCCCTCTGCTGGGAGGGCGGGAGAAGCGTAGCCGTCTGAATTCGAGTCAGATGCTGGCACTGCTTGTTTTCCTCTTGACTCTCGTCATCTGCATCCTGGGCCATTTCCTCCCTCTCGTCCTCCGCTTTTACACATCGACCAACGAGGCCTGGGTTGAAAGGATCACGATTGCCACTCCCTACTTCTTGGACTCTCTTTGGGATTATTCCGTGGAGTTGATCTTGGACTACACATCCTTTGAAGCCCTGAGAAAGGATGCAACCCCCACAAGTGTCACCGATATCGAAGAAGCAATCAGCCCAATGCAGAGGACCATCAGGAAATCCGACGCGCCAAATGCCTTCCTCAAGGGCTTCCTGCTGAAAGTGCCGTCAATCATCGCCATGAGCGCGATGAACCTCCGAACGCAGATTTGCTTCCTATACGCGCTGCTCATCAGCGTTCTTGTCGCAGTACTTCTCGCGATGGGCTTCTACTTGATCTTCTCTCCGCAAGCCAAAAGCACCCAGCACGCCAAGGCAGCGAGAGACGACGCAACGTAGGTCCCCATGGCTGTCCGCTTTCCAGTCGACTGACGTGAACAAGAGAAGCTGGAGACCCCGACGTTACCACGAAGCAGGATGCCTTCACCGCCACCCGGGCGTACACAACATTACTGCGCTTCGTATGGGGAGGGCTGCAAGTGCTCTTGCTCTGGCTGTCCCATCCTTATATGGATCACAAGCTTTCTATCACTTTTGGCCGCGAGCTGTATGGATTTCAATCGACGTGCGACAAGATGATGCAAAACTTTCACAGAGCCTGCAAGATCTGGCGAGCCATGCGCAAGAGGGGCTTCTGGTATACGGCTGGCACTGGGGCCAAGAACGCCTGGGCGGCGCAACGGCGCTTATCGTAGGTTTCCACCCGCGGCGGCGTGCGACACGATGCTAACGCAGTATAGGGACGAAGCGCGACTGATATCACCGGCGACGGACGCCCCAGCAGAGATCAAGAGCACCCCAAACAGGCGGAGGGTGTTCTGGACATGCGGGTGCGAGCCAATAAGAGAGTTGTCCCCGCCTTTGTTTTCAAGTTCCTGTCATCAATGCGGCTGTTTAGTTGCATGTTCATGGCCAGGTAAATCGACAGCGAGGTGTCCACGATCCGACTTGAGCTAACGGCCACACGTAAACATAGCCCGATGCTCGACTGCCTCCAACAAAGCGCTTCAAGACTCAGAGCCCCTCGTCCGCAGCCGAGATCCATCACGGGCAGGCAGCATGCCGACGAACAACGATGTCACGTCTTCGACGCTGGCGACACCCGCAGAGCAGCATACATTCGAAACAGGGGAGGCTCATGTATGCCATACGAAGGGTTCGCTTTCAATGGTTGTGAACGGGGAAGTCCCCGCGCCGCGAACTGGCCAAGTGCACGAACAAGCGGAGGGCTCAAGATAAATGTCAATACGCCATTACCCAATCAGTTGGATCACCATGCACAACGCCTCGGCTTGATGTGAGATGGGGAAATGAGATCATGGCGACAGAATGATGATTAATGTGAGGATGACTCGAAGTGATTTGCCCTTATTCCTGCCCATGCAGTATTCCCTCGACCCTCTTTCGCCCTCCACACTCAGCCTCGAGATAGGTCCATATAAATCTTGAGGGCAGGGCTGAAACTGTTCATTCCGTCTCTTCCGTTACCTCTCTATCGCATCATCGAGTTGCTATTGTCTGAAAAGACGTAGCAAGCGTTAGATTGTGGCATCAGCGTTCACAGTCCCCGAGGACTCACCAACTTCCTTCACTTTCTGCTTGTCTTTGTCAGTCACCCATCAACACCTGATAGCACGCTCCGGTTATACTAAGAGCAAGCCAACAGCTTTTCAGTCAGTTGTTACACCGACTTTGACTTCCGTACTTCATCTTTGCTATTGACTTAAAGGCGTCCTTTTCTGTCGATTTCCGGCATCGTCGTCATCCTGCGTTGTAAAAGAGCTTGAACAACACTGTCTACGTGCTTGACGTCAATTGGCCCCGGAACCTTGTGCAAAATGGTTTTCATGAGGTTTGCTTTATATCTTGATCGATGCGGAAGTATGCAACGAAATCGTTTTGCTCAACAACATAAGTGCTATGGTGTCTTCTGGGCATGGCGTCTTTGATAGGGAGCCCAAAAATGGTCGTAGGCTTGCCCAGGGGGGTTGGTTATGTGTTTCGGCATGAGGACAACTCGACGTGCTATTTGACCTCAAAGGTTGATTACATAGACGATAATAGTCTTGATGATCTTAGTATCGAGGTGGCGCACGAAGGAGTGGTAGAGATATCAGTTGCACCCGTGGCAAACCAGGGGGCAGCACGGACGATGGCCGACCCTAACATGGCTCGAGCTGGCCATCAACAAGCAACCCTTAGACTGGTAAAGGATTGCTTTGCAGGCAGTGATGTTGGGTCGTCGCCTGAGGCGGGTGTCATTTGGTGATTGAGCCACCATCATGAGGCGTGGTCTCGAATAAACCCATCATAAAGATCTGGGCGCACGCTGCTTAGCCCAGAACCCAGAACCAGTGCGAGGCAAAGGATTTCCTGGCTTCAATCTGGTACTGTGCAGGGGAGAATCAAAGTGGAGGTACGATTCGGGACGTACCGTGCACTGGACCCGAATTGAACGCGGTGTAACACCTTGATGAGGCTGAATTTGGCGTTTCCGAAGTACTTCGAGATCGTCGAAGGTAACCCCATGTGCTGCTCAAGACGGAGGCCCCTCTTACTAAATTCCAACAACGGCCATGCGACTCCAGTTCTCTCGGCTCCAGCCGACCTGTGCACCATTCTGCTTGGCTTGCCCACAGGAACCGGGTGGCCACTACAGGTGTGTCTAATGCCATGACGCGTTTGTGCTATGAAGAAGCATGGGAAGATACTGACCTGGAGTTCCATTACTCACAGTCCCTCTCTAGATTTAATTACATGGAGGCCTTTCTGCGGCTTTTATTTCATCTTCACATCTTGCACAGCATTGCGAGCTGGTTTAGAATAGATGAAGAGTCACGACTGGAACTCTGAGACAGTAAGGCGGATATTTGCTCCAAATGTTCAACTGCAGGTTCACAAAAACCCCAGTTGTACAAACTAATAATCACAATGACCGCAATATCCACACGCCTTGTCACAAGCCGTGAAGTCTTTGACCGAGTCATGCTCAGAGACGTCATAGTCATATCGATCTTCATCGCTGTCGTAGCTCCACCAATGTGCTTTGTCGTCGCTTTCCAGATCGCCTCTCGCACTCTCCGGCTCTGAACCAACCGCAATTTCCAGACCTTGAAGGATTAGTTGTCTGTAAGACTCAAAATCACTCTTCCTTGAAAGCATTACATAAAGAACCTCGACCAGACAGTCTCGACCGGTTGGCATGCTGGACCCTTTCTGAGGGACTTCGTCAAGAGCTGCCATAGCCACATCCTGCAGCCCGTTTTTTTGATTAGCAGACACTGGGTCGTCAGCGGTATGGCAGTCAAGGAGAAATCCTAATATTTCAGGCCCTACAAGACATTCTCTCCACAAGTCGCCCAAATCTACCCGGACATCTATGTCTGAGGATAGAATTGTTGTTTGAAGCGTGTCGAATGCGAGAACTCCGATGACTTTGCCTGTGCCACCAGGCTTTGGCTGACGCGAATGAAGGGCAGCAAGAATCAGATTCATTGGTGAATGGTCGGTTTTTGTCGGTGAAAATACACCTGAGTCAGGTTTTCCATCGCCTCCACCCGAAGACCCCCTTGCACACGACGATGACTCTGCGGCAACCTGGCCCAGTCTGAGTGTTGCGGGGGGTGGCAAAGTGGGACGTGGAAAACCCCCCGTAGAAGGACAAACGGCTGGGTGCTCTTTTGGAAGTCTTAGATGGAGGTCGATGTCCCTCGAGGGTCTGGCGAGGGTGGCTCGCCAATGGGGGGAGTTGATAGGAGACTTTTGGTAGAGGTTCAGCTCATAGAACTTGTTGTGAATGCCACATCTGAAATTTTTGTATCTTGAAACCTGATGTGAATTTCCAGCTGCGGACGGTTGGGGGCATGACATCGTGACGTACGAATTGACCTTCTCAAAGTTTGCTTGTAGAAGCTGCTCCTCTTGTATCTCCGCATATTCCCTGTTGGAACCGAGCGAGACAAAATAACGAAGGGACTCTAGCGGACCGTAGTTAATCTGGCGGACCAGCTGGATGGAATAGGAAGCTTCCAGGCAGGCTTCTCTTCTGTGAATGCCATCTTTCTGTTCGTTGGCCCAGGCGAGAAAGCCCGAGAACTTCGCCTCGTGGTCGAGGGATTGAGGTCGATATGGTTGAATAGCGACACAGCAGAATATGGCAGAATCTATGATCAAGAGCACCTGGGTATTAAAAGACACCAAAGGTTTCGCATGAGGGAAGAGGGGGATACTTAAGTGGCTTGGGTTCACACGGAAAACAGACGACGTCTACCTAACGTCATTACATCGCCTTGGTCGTAGCTTGATGCGTGGCTTCCGATAGCTCATGCTTATATCCAATGACGGGCAGGACGGCACGGAACTTTGTAGAACAGGATGGTGGGGCACTGCCTTGGGCACATTTCATACGACCAACCACAACAGAGACTGGATTCAGCTAAATGGTGAGCCCCAGGAGGGTGTTGGGCATTCGATCTTGGTGCAGATACAACACCTGGGCGCAGAAATATATCTTGGTGCCCGGCCTTCAGATTGATCAGATGCGAGCACACCGACACGGCCCATACTGCACTGAGATCGAGGCTGTGGCATATCTGTCAACTCCCTTGTCTAGATTTGATCCCGCTCTGCTTGCTCTCGGTTAGGTTTGGTGGAGACCAACTCGACTGGTTGACTTAATCGTTTCTGTGAAGTGTCCAGATCTGGGCCGTGAGGAGGCGCTAGGCGGCACCAGGCTCACATTTCGGCTTGTATGGCCCGTGCTCAAAGAGATCGTGACGATACACCTCCAGCTTCTCCCCGCATGCCCCTCCAATGCCGATCTGCCGGTTTCTCTCGCCACTGGGTACGTCATTCCCACCTCATGTTTAGGTGTCGGCCAGAGTGATTCGTAGGAGCTCTCTTCACAGTGTCTTCCCTTGCGGCGCATTATGAGGTAGACGCCTGCGTCATACTGGCCGTTGTTTAGTGGTTTGAGATTGAGTAACTATAACATCATATCGATAATTTTACGGTATGAGGTAGAGGAGAGTACTTCGTTACAACATTGCATTATGTCTGGTATAACATCGCAGAGCGATCACTACAAAGCACGCATAACTCGTTGCAGTGCTACTGTACCATATGGACAACAGGCAAGTGATCCTGAGGGCACGGGCTTTATTGTACCAGAGGCCTCCAATAGACTACCCTTTTGATTGGTCCGCAGCTGTGTCTTGCTGTACTCTGGAGCAGCGGGAAGACTAGTCCGAGCTGCTGCCTGGCCGTCCGTCTTCGAACCTCCCCCACTTCTTCGGCGCATTCATTTGATACTCTTGCAAGATCTTCGCAACATTCTCAGCTCATTTTGAAATGCTTGACCCTTTCGGAATTATCGGTGTTGTTGTCGTGGCCGGCCAGATCATCTCGACCGTCGCCAATTTCGGGCTGGACTGGAAACACGCCCCAGCTGATACCAAGTCCCTCCTGGTCGCGGTTGGGGCTCTGAAAACGGTGCTTTCCGAGACGAATATGAATATGCTTCTCAACGATGACTTTAAGGATGTCTTCCACGGTCGGCATTCCACGCTCCTTTCGCAGCTTGGAGATACCGTGCCGGTCACAGACACCAGCATGCTGGTATCAGCATGCAAGAAAGAGCTAGAGATCCTCCTCGAGGACTTGCAGAAGCGAGTCCAGGGTCATCGAATTGGCTGGAAAAGGATGAAAGGAGCATTCCTAGCGAAGAAGACTAAAGAAGCGGTCCAAAACCTTCATCGACAGTCAAACCTTGAACACATTGATGGATATGGATGCCCTTGCAATCGGTGTAAGCATCCACAAGGAAGTCAGAGAGGCAAGAAGAGAACAGCAGGGTTGGCATGCAGACAAGGAGTGCAAGGCCATCATCGATTGGCTCACTATGATTGATTATGGCCCTAAGCAGAGCGATTTCATTGCAAGGAGGCAAGGAGGCACTGGACAGTGGCTTCTGAGCTCGATGGAATATAGGGAATGGAGCGAGACTGCGGACCAGACTCTATTCTGTCCGGGAATCCCTGGAGCCGGGAAGACGATTATCACATCGATCGTGGTTGACGACCTTTGCACACGATACACGAGCAATGAGCATGTTGGCATTGCATATATTTATTGCGACTTCCAGCGGCAACAGGAGCAAAAGGTTGGAGAACTCCTCATGAGTCTCCTAAAGCAGCTGACGCAACGCCGGTCATCATTGCCGGAGTGTGTGAAGTTTCTCCACGATGAACACTGGCGTAAGCGGACGCGGCCGTCATTTGATGAAATCTCGAGAACCCTCCGTCGTGTTGCAGATTCTTACTCGAGAACTTTCATCATTGTTGATGCACTTGACGAATGCCAACAAAACGACGGCTGTCGCGCGAGATTCTTAACCGAGCTTTTCAATCTCCAGGCCGAATGCGGAGCAAACATTTTCGCAACTTCCAGGTGTATCCCAGAAATTACTGAAAGATTCAGTGCCAGCACAAGATTGGAAATTCGGGCCAATGACGAGGATGTGCGCAGGTATTTAGACGGCCGAATACTGCAATCCAGACGGACATCGCTAGAAAAATGTCGTGAGGAGATAAGAAATGGGATCACGGAGGTTTCTGATGGAATGTAAGCGTTTCAGTACCCTCCTAACAGGCCGCATGATTGAACATTTGCTAGGTTCCTCCTTGCGCACCTTCATTTCGAATCCGTCAGCAAAAAGAAAACAACTCGAAGTATAAAAGGCGCATTAAAAAGTCTCCTGACTGGACTAGAGGCGTACAATCAAGTCTACGAAGAAGCTTGGGTGCGAATCACTGAATCTGATACCGAGTCACAGGACCTTGCGAAGAAGGTTCTCTCATGGATCACGTGTGCAAAAAGACAACTCACAACGTCGGAAATCCAACATGCACTGGCTATACAAGAGGGTGACTCTGAACTTGAAGAAGAGGGTATCCCATCTGTCTCGGACATGGTCTCGGTCTGTGTTGGAATGGTTGAAACCGATGAAGAGAGCGGCATCATCCGATTAGTTCATCGCACAGCGCAAGAGTACTTCCAGCGGATTCTTCCAAATGCGGAGACCGACATCGCTAAAGCCTGCCTTACCTATCTTTCATTTGGCAGCTTTAGGAACGGATTCTGTCCGACAGGTCAAGACGTACGAGACCAGCAGCTGTTGGACCCGTTCTTCGAATACGCGGCACAAAATTGGGTCCTCCACGCTCGCTCCGCCTCATCTGACGTACAACCGCTTATTTCTACTTTTTTGTCATCTGGGTCAAAGGTTCCAAGTAGTTGTCTGCTCTGGGCGGTGAAGAACCAGCAAGAGCTCATCGCAGAATGGCTGTTAGAACGACGCGTCGACACGAATGTCCGCGACGCCGATTGGAAGACTCCATTGCATCATGCTGTTATTCACGGCTGGAAAAAATGTGTTCAGCTCCTCCTAAGCTATGAAGCGACCAAACTGTCGAATTTGACCACGGACATCAACAACATGACCCCCATTCACTACACTGTCGCAAAAGCAAACGGAGAAATTGCGCAGGTCTTGCTCGATGCTGGAGTATCAGTCGACAGTCTAGTGAAAAGGAGGATCTGGCTGGCAACATGCCAAGATGGCAAGCTCACCTATGCACCAAATAGCAATCTATGTTGCTGCCAGGGTGGGTTCAACGCTCCGCAAGGGCTCACAGCTTTGCACTATGCGGCCTTGACAGGGAGTGCTCAGATGACAAGATATTTCCTCGACCACGGTGCCAACCCAAATGCGGTCTCCGAGTGTGGCGAAACGCCTCTGCATCTCGCAGTCAGGCAAGACATCCACGATTGGAAACGGCCATTTGGCAAACGAGACGATTGGAATAATCCAGACTTAAGAATCGAAGTTTTGCTTGATTTGATAGATCATGGCACTGATGACGAGGAAGAATACTCTAAGATAATGAGAATCATCAACAAGGACAGGGTCGACATTATCGATGCCCTCCTCAACCACCCGGATATCGACGTAAATACCAGAGATACACATGGCGCGACTCTCCTGCACTGCGTTCCTTATGGGAATAGGGGGTCTCAATCTATCCTCGAGAGGCTGCTTGAGAAAAATGTCAAAATGTCCCAACGTGATTCGAAGGGTCGGACGCCATTGCATCTGGCCTGTT